CGTAATCGATTTGCTTGGGACCAATAGGCTAGTCAAGTAGTGAGCCAATGTAAAAACGTTAGTTTCGTATTGATTGTTGTTATAATCGTGCAGAGGTAGTCTGGGACCCTCATTCTATGGAGCGCCTTGGTGAAGGCCTCCCAGCTGGCCCTATTGAATGCTTTCTTCACATCAATCGTAATCACGGCGCAGTATCGATTTCCTCTCCGCTTCTGTTTGGAAGGTTTCTCGGTTCTCGGCTCTGCATCCACCGTCGATCTCCCTTTCCGGAATCCGAACTGCCTCTCCGCCAACCCGTGTTCACTCTCCGTGCATTTCGTCAGCCTGTTCAGGATGATCCTCTCCAAGAGCTTTCCGACAGTATCCAGCAAGCATATTGGCCTATACGATACTGGATCCCCCGGCGGTTTTCCGGGCTTTGGCAATAGCACAAGCTTTTGTACCTTCCACCTATCAGGGAACTGACCCTCGTCCAAACATTTCTGCAGCCCTATCATGGACATGTCCGGGAACGTCTGGATCACCGCCTTCAACGCGACGTTGGGAATTCCATCCGGGCCGGGAGCTTTTTTCGCGTTCAACCCTTTCGCTGCTGCTAGGAATTCCTCGTTGGAGACTTGTTCAACGTTGTCTCCATCTTCCTCGCCATATGGTGTAGGTGGCCAGGTCGTTGGGTCATGCTGTGGGAAAAGTACCACCATGGTGACTTTCAGCTTATTGGGACACATTTCAACCGGCATCGTTGGACCTCTGATCTTCGCCATCGCGACTCGGTATGCGTTGCCCCAGGGGTTGGCATCGGCGTCGCGGCACAGCTCCTTGAAGCTGTTTGACTTGCTCAGCTTTATCTTTCGTTTTAGAACACCACCCTGCTTGCGTTCTTGCTCTCTGAACGCGCCTTCTGGCTAGAAGACAACTAGCACGGAGGGTGCTAATTTCCTCGTTCCACCAATAAGCTGGATGCCGCCTGTTCGTTGGTTCCAGTTTTCTCGGCATAGTTGTGTCACATGCCCTTGCTAATGATTCGGTCAACTCGTTCGCGCTTAAGCCCGGGACGCTGCTGTCTACCCTTAGAGCTTCGATGACGAGATCCTTATTGAATGCCTTCGTTTTCCACTTCCGCTCGCTTACTTTCGACCTCCGCATTTCCACCGGTGTCCGTTCGCCGATATTGTGCCGGATCGCCTGATGGTCACTATGGGTGTACTCTTCGCATACTCTCTAGTTCATATTTGCCACTAGCGACGTACCTACTGCAGAAAGTGACGTCGATAATGGATTCCCTACCATATTTGCGGAAGGTGCTGATGGTTCCTAAGTTGGCCAGACTGACGTTCAACTTTGCCAGACAGTTGAGCCGGTCGAAGCTATGAGGCTGATAAGGGGGAGGTTGTGACCCAAATTCACCCGGAAAAACCCGTGAATTTCGAGACAAATCGGGAAAAAAATGTACTTCATCCTTTCCTCAAAACAAATAAGATTTTGGCCCTTGAAAAAAATCAAGACCTTTGAACTGGACTAGATTTTTGAAATGCAGTCATTGAAGAATTCTCGCAATAATTTTAGAAAAAAAAAACAATTAAAAGCAGGATTTCCAGATCCATGAAAAATACCAAGGCAAACGAATTTTTTAGAGTAAAATTCCAAAGTAAATGAAAAAAGTTTTAAGGAAATTCCGAGGATAATTTCAAGGGCATCTCGAAAAATTTTCTAGATAATTTTAAGGTGCGTTCCAAGCGAATTGCTAGAGATTATTCTGAGTAATATTTTAATTTTTGAATTAAGAAACTAAGAAGAATTCAAACCAATTAAAAAAAAAACATTATGGATGCCCAATGAATTTTTCAAAAAAGTTTGAAATTTTATCATTAATTTTTTTACGAATATCTGTACTGATTTAAATAAATTTTCAAGGAACTCACAAAACGAATCTCAAATATATTTTAGAAGAATTCTGAAAAGAACTATTTAAAGTGAAATGCGTTTATAGGAAATGCTTGATAAAATCCTGTAAAGTTTTGAACGAATTTTCAAAGACAAAGTTCGAAGACTTCGACCACAGATTAAAATTCAAGACCCAGGAAAAATCCGGCTGTCTTAGGCTGTCTATGACTCATTTAACTTAGTGATCTCTTCTGCTCAATCCAATATGGTTTTATGCTTAATTTACATGCATATCGCACAACCGGGAAACATTCCATAATTCTGCTATGGTTCATCCCCGGAGTACCCCATTTATAAAAAAAAATACAGGAAATCCTGTTAGGCGCGGGGCTTAGCAAGTACACAGATGATTACATTTGATTCTACTTATTCAAAGCTCTGAGTTGTGGAAATTTTGGTTATTATTTAGTTCTACCCACCAAAAGTTGTTAAACATTTTCCTGCTGACTAATATAAAGTGGTAGTGAAAACAACAAAACTGATAGAAATGTAAGTTTAAGTTTACCATCAATAATATTATCATAAAGGATATGATTGCACTTACCAGTGTTGGCAAAATCAGAAATCAATTGATATTTTTCCGCTCTCATGCGCTCGCAATATCCCGCGTGATATTGGACCAAAATATCATGCTTGATATTGATTTTACAAGCTCCTTTGATATTGCGAGACTATTCACAACGTGCAAAAATTAGGCTGAGAGTTGACTCGACACAAAAATGAGTCCATTGTACATCGTTTTCTTAGAATAAAGAGAAAGCATAGTTTGCTATCTCTTTTTAATCTTCTCCGATGGCAGACGCGAAGGGACTGCTGCAAGCCATTATGGAAGTTTCGGTTGCATTCGGGTGTAAAGCAAAAATCATTAAACTCAATCTCACCACAGTTTGGTGAGATTTGCAGTGGGTGAGTTTTGTTAGCTTGATAGTCCGAGCTGCGAATCTTGATTTAAAAATCGAGATGAAAGTGTGTGGGTTCGAAAAAAAATATCGCTGTGTTCAGAAAACGAAGCTCTTTCAGATGATGTATAAAAAACGATACATTTTTCAAAATTAAAGAATCCTTTCAATTGGAAAGGTACTATCAAATGTATAAACAAAATGTTGATTATTCTTTCCTCGACAATCGAACGCAAATTACCGGCATCATCCGATAGGGGAAACTTCCCCAACCCAAAGATGATGTTAGTTTGCGTAGGCGAGCCTTGTGCGCGAAAAAAAGGGTTTCCGAAGTTTTGTTTTCAATAGGCGAATCCAATAGAAAGTATTGTTTCAGCCTCTGGAGTTAATAGGGGAACCCTCAAAAGAGTGATGAGCACAAACGAAGCGACAGACGGAGCGGCTCGAAAACTTTGGTGACGAACCTGCTATTGCAATTTTCAGTGTACCTCATGACAACACTACTACCATAGAGGTAACTCTAAGACTAGAAGGTCCCGAAATAACGTGCTCAACTTTTTGGCTCAGCTCTGGTACTATCTTCGGTCCCAAGTGAGGTCCCAAGCTAATCGATGCACCCCTCGAAACATAGGAAAATCCACGAACCCCCCATTTTATCTATCAAACTGTGTAGTAGTAGAATTTCGACTAGAATGGGGTACGTTAATCGTTTGCTTGGGACCAATAGGCTAGTCAAGTAGTGAGCCAATTTAAAATCGTTAGTTTCGTATTGATTGTTGATTGTACCACATGGCAACACTAAATGTACTAGAATGTTTTGGTTCTATCTAATTCACTCTACTCAAAACTGAAATGCATAACAAAAAATGACAAAATGATACACTCTTTGCACACTGTCAAAGATCATTACACACAAAATCAACTTTGTTCAAATCAAAACAAAAATACTAGCCCATCTGGTGGATGATGGCACAAGCTTTTAAGACAATTCTATTACAATGAACCACATTATTTTAATTGATTTCTTCGCCAGTTAGTCGTCTGTCACTTCGTTTGTGGTGATGAGGGTGGAAATTTTCACCGTGAAGCATAGGAAGAGGAAAATATTTTCACCTTTCCTGATTAATTTATCCACCGCAGGTGTTTGAAATCATCATCCACGTGGAATAATTTGTTTTCTGTAGTGATCGGGTTGGTGCTTCCATATATTTTTGATGAGAAAAATTAAGATTTATAAAATTGACCCAGCGGTTATGATCTTCCGGATTTTTAACGTGTGGTTATTTCAGCTGTAAATCAGTTCAGATCTTTAGATAATCGAAAAATAAGACCACTCTCGATGGAAATTTTCAAGTTGTTCAATAAAATGTACATTATTTTGAGTTTTGAAAATCCTCATTATGATGTAAACAAATGGATTGGATGACGTTGCCTCTCAAAATCGGCTAGTGCACTCAACATTGATGTTGCATGAAAAGTGCCTATAGCTGATGTGCTTTTTTCTGTTGACAGCTCAATTGGTTCCCGACACTCTTATTAAAGTGAGGAAAAGTAGGCAATTCGAAACAATGTCGAAAAGTTACACATTTCAGCACCAGGTGTTATCGGTACAGTTGAAACCGGAATAACCCACTAACGACCATCGATTTTACTCTCGTTCTGTATGTTCTGTATAGCGCATCATTGTGTGATTACAGCGCACAACTTCCGACACTACCGATAATACCAAGAATATTATTTTGTAACAACAAACATTGCTGATTGCCATCGCCCACTTGGATGCGCGCACCCATCAGAAAATATTCCTTCGTAATGGCACTCAAAATAAACTGATAACCCTCAAGGGAAAAAAATGACAATAGAACCGGACTGAAACCGAGAACAACCATCCTGATTTGATAACGTCGCATTCCGTTTGTTCTCCGCTTTGTAGCCTTCCGCTTCAGGCTTTTTCTAAAGCGGTAAAAGCAACAATGCGAAAAAAATTCCATTCTCTCAATTATTTTTTTCCCCAACGATTGCTGAGATTGTGCTGCGAAATGGACCACCGAAACACGCTAATGGGTGGCTTTTATCCCTTATAAATTGTTAAGTACGCAGTTTGCGTAGTGATTTACGGTTTTCTTTTTCTTCTTTTCTCTATCCCTCTCAAACCAGATTCCACAAATTATTCTGCTGACCTTTGATGGAGCCGTGAATTTGAACAACTACGATCACTACAGGAAGATCTTCAACGGCAAACGTCAGAATCCGAACGGCTGTGACATCAAGGGAACGTTCTTCATTTCGCACGAGTACAGGTAAATCGAAAAATGGCATGGCTTACTCAGATTTCGCCTTTCGGGCACATCGACAAATGAAATGGAATATTTAATTCCGCCGCGATGATCAAAAGAATGCGAACGCCAACAGAAGAGCAACTTTTTTCGCACAAATCCTTTAATCACACAGACAATTTCCATCCATCTCCATCCCCCGATCAGAGACAGGAAGGAAATTGCGTTTCATTCTGGTGCAATTAATTGCAGCAGTAGAACCTGGTGCATCTTTTTTTTTCCGCGCTCAGCAGCACTTCATCCCTTGTCTTGTTTAACTTCAACGCGAATGAATTTAATTCGAAATGGTTGGTTCGTTCTTATGTAGGTTCGCTCGCTCGCTTCCCACGGGAAACCCTGCCCGAGGCGTTTCATTACAATAAAAGCTTTTCATCAAGGTAAATTTAATCCAACTATTCAAGTATCATTTTGTCTTCCAGCTTTTGCCGCCATGGCTTGCTGTGTCAGTGCATGGGTACAATTTTTCATCCAGCCAACGCCTTCTTTGCCTGTCAGAGTGTTTCAGGGAAACCGCAAACCCTAGTCGGATTTCCTCTCTTCCGCTGATGCTTCTTCGTTCAGCCATGTTTAAATGTTTTAATTTAAACAATTTAACAGTTCCCTTCTCGCAACTTGTTCACACTGAGCTTTTTTCCTCGCGTCTATCCAATTTCGACCGGAGAATACATGTCGAAAAAAGGACGACCCCTCTGTTTAACACTCCCCCCCCCCCCGTAATCAGTTTAGTACCATCTCTCTCCGTGCCATGACAGCAGTTACGGACTTGTACAGGGCTATAACATGGTCCGTATCTCAGTCACACGATCCACTTTTGCCGGAGCTGCACTACTTCCATCTGGCAGAGGGTGAAAATTGCCCGAGGTTCACACAGTAAGACCCTCTGCTGAAGTAAGCAGGGCCTGGACCATCAAGCGGTCATAAAAGTGAGGAATTACATAATAAATCCTCGAATCAACTCATTTGATAGTTTTACCCACCACCACCCCTACGCTGCCGTTTGGATTTCATCTTGGTTTCCTTAAAAAAATCCTGAATTCATCCACCTATGGTGCGGTCTGACCCATCTTATACCCCGGACAGACTATGGCTTATATCATGTAATATAGGCTGGCTTGCAATGAACACTCATACATAGGATTTCCAGTGAAAACTAGATGTATGAGTGCTCATTGCAAGACAGCCTATATTACATGATATAAGCCATAGACTGTAAATCACAGACAAACAAACGTAACTCTTTGAATAAGTTTTTCTTGAAAACAAAGTACCTCAAAACATAAGACCTTAGTAACGACATCTCTCGGGCTTCTCGCGGAAAACAAGTTTGCTCGTTAAGTTGCAAACAATATTGCATGGAAAGTGAAAAGAATATATCGAAACGTCAAAGTGATCTGATGCCAGCGCTGCAGCACTCTTCGATTTTCTTCTGAAATAAACACAATGGATCGTCAATGTCAAAGACTCACTTGGTAACACTTGGATTTTGCAGCACTGGTGCTGTCAACCTTCTCTGTCATCTCCATTTTCGATGGTTCGAAAATCTGGACAATAAAATCGACATTATTCTGCTTATACCATTCAATGACATCCCTGCTGGCATTCATGGCAGCTGGGCAGTCGGGCCAGAACTTTCCGGAACCTTCTTGTGACTGAATGAATGGCAAAATTCTCTTCTGGAGACATTCCTCCTTGTGAATTTGCCCATTCATAGTCGCTCAAGTGATGAAAACCTTTGTTTTATTCCCACAACGAAAGATGCTTTGCTAAATCATAAACTTGCGAGCGAATGTATCTGCAAAGACAAATTTGATCTTACCCTTACGTTTGGCAAGGTAACATTTTTAACCCGGAATTTGTCCAAAGTCCATTTATACGTAAGTTTCATCGTCCGTTTTCAACAAGAGTGTTCTGAATTTGTTCAAGTCTGCGTTCCATCTTCGATAACTTTTAAATGTGTCCATGAATCCTGGTGAAATTAACACCTTCCAATCAAAACGCTTACAGTTTTATGCTACGACAACTAGAGACACTACAGTAATTAAAAAGAAGCGGCCAAATACTAACTGGAACAGACTTTATTGGTTACATTTGGCTTGAATGCCCTCAGCTGAATAGCTTATTACAATGACGATGCGAAGTGCCATCGTGTAGCATCTGGCAGCTCCGCATCGTCATCTTTCCACAGCAGTCCAGTATCAAATCGCTCACCGAAACGAACCGTCGTCTGCTCCAGCAAATCTAGCAGTCGCTGTTTTTCTTTAGATCGTAGAGTGAAATTTCCTGCTCCAACTTCCTCGAGATCGTATCATACAGATCCTTATTCGTTGTGCACTCGCAAACGTGGAAACTGTATTCACGATCCAGGATTTACCGCAACTGGTCCATTTCCGTTACCTTCCATCGACTTCAGTGGAACACTTAATTGTAGATTGTCAAGTTCTATCAGCAGCTTAGGTACGGCATTCTTGTAGCTCTGTATCAGTAGCTGCTTGAGGTAAAGGGTGTCTCACATCAAATTGCATCACGGAAAAAAAAACGCTGTAGAAAATTACCTATTTGATCGATCCTTTTCAAACTTTGAGACAATAGAATATAACCCATTAGTGATCTTTTGGCATATTTATTTCATTCAAATTCAATACCATAACCGTACGCTCGCACCTTACGCTCAACTCCACTCATTAGGTTCTGCACAACATCTGGCTGCAGCTTCTTCTGTACGGAACGAGGGGGCGACACATCTAAATCTCAAGTTAAGATGCTCAACAAATCTCACACTAGCGAATCAATCTTCGAAAAATCTTCTTTCATTTGTCGCATCTACTTGCATCGAGCATCATCTTTTTGCAGGAAATCTTCAGAATCGTCATCAATCTTCTTTCTATCTACTCAGCGTGCGCGCAGCTAGCCACAGCAAAGCACAATCTTTTCTGCATCGTAGATAAAGTCGTCCCCCTCGGTACGGAAACCCACTTTTTCTTCATGTCTTCCTCAGATTTGACCTCCTTGGGATGCTTCCGTAGTGCCTGCTTCATAATAGCCCAGTATTTTTCGAAGGGCCTTAGTTCCGGTGCGTGGGGGGATCATGTCCTTGGGTACGAAAGTGACCCCGTTGACTTCGTACCACTCCAGGACAACATTTGAATAGTGGCACGAAGCTAGAACCGGCCAGAAGATCGTAGGGCCCTCGTGTTGCTTCAACAGAGGAAGCAGATGCTTCTGTAGACACTCTTTGAGATAGATCTCCCCGTTTACAGTCCCGATAGTCACGAACGGCGCACTCCGTTTGCCACATGAGCAGATCGCTTGCCAAATAATGTATTTCTTGGCAAACTTTGAAAGTTTCTACTTCTTCCTTACTTCCTCCGTAACATCAAACTTGTGCTGGACGGTGAAGAACGGTAGCCGCGGAAGCTGCCGGAAGTTCGCCTTGACGTAAGTCTCATCATCCATGATGAGACAATGAGGCTTCGTCGGCATCTGGGTGCACAGTTTCCGGGCCCGTGACTTTCCCAACGTATCCATTCTGGCCGCATTTCTCCTTCCGTTCGATGCTCAGAGTTTCGTAGTAACGTTTAATCACACGACTCACCGTTGACTGCCCGATTCCGAGTTGTTTTCCGATGTCCCGATGAGAGAGTTGAGGATTTTCCAGGTGCTTGCGCAAAATTAGTTCGCGACGTTGCTTTTCGGGTGACGCCATTTTTTCCAACTTTCGAAAATCTGACAGCGATTAAAATGCAGTGTAAACAATGCACTCTAAACTACTTCTACCCAAATTTTCAAGAGAGTATACCCAATGGGTAATTTTCTACAGCGTATTTTTCCGTGATGCAACTGATGTGATGTGAACTTTTTGTTTGTATAATGGTATGTTTGGCAACCCGGTTAATTTGACAGTTCACATGTTCTGTTTTGAAGAAACAAAACAACAACCAGTGGAATCCTATCCCAGATCCTAACTGTCGTGACTGTCGGTTCGTTGCTCCCAAATTCTATCGGAAAAGGACTACACTGAACCTAATAAGTAACGGCCTCGGCCACCGAATCGAAGCTTCAAGCGAGAACGTTCTCCGGGGCAGGCATTTCCATTTTTCGATAGGACAATAACTGGTCAGATTCTGATGAACGCTTCCGGGTGGAGTTTCTACTGAAAGCCATCGACTCAGTCAAAAATGCGTCGCCAGCGTTCTAGTGGGAGTTTTAACTGGAATCAGACTTCCCTGGTGGTGGTGAGGTTTAAGATGGAGAGAAGTATGATGGCAAATACCGGTGAAGATTCTACCTCCGAACATGGTTCGAGTGATCATCGAAGGCGAATTCATCGATGTCAGTTACGATGAAGAACGAATCAAAGAAGTGAATGTCGGTTGGCTGATCAACGAAGTGGTGAAGCGTTACGGAATACGGATGGTAAACGACCACTGATAAAACTACTACTACCGGGACTTCTTCTCCGCCAAGCCTATAAATATTCTATTTCAAGCGCTGGGTTACCAGGGTCGTGTCTGACAGCTAAACCTATCCTTCAAGCCCCACAACTGACCAATCAACATCTTACAATTCCACTTAAACTCCTTCGGCTGTGATTTCAGCTCCGACACAAATCTCCCCACCCCAAATTGATCTAGCAACGTCTTCAACGTTCCCTTCACTTCCTCCTTGAGGGTCTCGCTCTCCCCACTAACCAACTCACTAATCACATTCCAAATCGGCATTATGAACAGTTGCAGTCCCTTCATGGTCATCTTTTCAATCAGCTTCCGATTCCCAACTTCGATCAAACTGTTTTGAACCACCAAAGTCTTCCACACCAGATCCTTAAACAGTTCGGTCGTCTTGAGTGGAGGTTCTCCGAAGTCTTCCGATAGCGACAGCGACTCCAGCAAAATCTGGAAGAATTCCAGTATTACAGTCACTAGCGTGCACAGGAATCTTTGTTAAGGAGGGGCATTTTTTTTCTA